GTAATTTCTCATTGTTGGATGTGTTTGTAACTAAAGGCCAGGCTCTTGCTCTTGCAGCAGAAAATGTAACAATGCCACCACTTGAATTGGCCACAGTGGCACCCCTAAGTAGCACGGGAATGAATTGGCACAAAATGCCGCTGTATAAGTCTGGCTGGATTGAAACCATAATTTTTGTATTAATCTGTCTTTCGGTAATTGCCGCAGCAGCATATTGGATTGATAAAAAGACTAGTGCTGTGTCAATGTTGTGGAGCTGTGGTAGGGCGACTGTCCGCAAATTTGCTGGGGCATCAAAGAAAACTGTTCCGCCGCCGGAGAGTGAGGAAAATGAGGATGAGGTAGAGCTCAGAAGCATGCGCCAACGGGCGGCGGCGAGGTTGTAAGAGTAATAAGGTCCCATTAGAATTAATCTAGGTATAATTTTCTTTCTGTAGTTTTCTTTTTTTTTTAGCAGTGTTTTAGAGTAGGGTACTCAGCAGGCACCGACGTGCTAGGGAACAAAACTCCTGTGTGACTTGCTACGAGGACGGCCGAGCCAGGGAAGGACCAGAGCCGACACCGTCCCGGAGCACCAATTGGATCACCATTTCCTTGACCTTCCACCCAAAATGCCAAGTCTTTGAGAGAGGAGGCACAGTCGTGGAAACGACTGCCCAAGCTGAGGCCCTTTATGGGAGGAAGCCGGACAAGCAAGGAAGGTGTTTGGCGCGCCTTGCTTCAGCCGAAGGGTTTTGGGGGAAGTATGCCACACTACTTGTTAAAAATAAATTGATATTTGGATTTGTAGTGTTGGCTAAGTCCAGGCGCTTGACTCAACAGTTACTCAGAGTCGCGCGAGCTGTGGCTAGGCGCAACGCCTCCCACGGCCGACTGCGGTTACCTTTGGTGCCAATAGCAGTTCTGGCACTCATCATCAACGATTTTGCAAAGGATGAAGAAACGACCCTTTGCCATCACGAGCTTCGACGTCGGCGATCAGTCTAAGTCACACGGGAGTAAGCGTCCCTGCCCGGTAGTTTGCGAGTGAGAAGAGAGAGAATGGGTCTAAGTATAATGTTAGGACACCATGTAATCGATAGTGCTAAGTCTAGATTAGGAAAAAGAAAATACAAAAAAAATAATTTTAATGGGCGTAGTTTTAGAGTTTGTTTGGGATAAAATAATTTAGTGTTAAACTGTGGTAAAAGGACATTGTCTTGTTTTTTTTTCTCATCTTCACTGCTCATCAATTTTTTTTGTATGTGTCCATGTCATGATAATTTTTCTGAAAATACATGTAGCCGCTATCAACTTTTGAAATAATTGTAAATGTAAAACAAAATTGTATTACTGGTGCTGGTCTCACACAACCTAATTTACCTAGAAAAATGTTCAAACGTTAAGAGTTAGCTATCTTAGTTTGTGCCGTTGTCGGGGTCGACAATTTTGACGCTACACGGATGTTGCGGGGGGAAACTCAAATCTCGCGCCGCTCCTGTCACCAAGCCCGCTCACTGCCACCTAGAGCGCGAGGCGGGCGGCGCGAGGATGAGGTAGTAGCGGCCGTCCGCCGGGCCCTTCGCGAGCCCGCGGAGCGGCCGCGGAGCGGCACTCCAGGCGGACACTCGGGGCAGTCGTCCGAAGTCAATCCCTTAGACAAGGTGTGTGAGACCACCCCGGTCCTAATCGGTTCAATATATCTTATACCCAGTTGACTTGAAATCCGTCTATTAATCATACTCGATCTCCGAACCTTCTACCACACCATCGAAACAGAACGGTCTCCTTATCACATTCACTCTTGGACTGGTATTAACTAAAACCTGAAATAAGAAGGAGAAATCATTGAGGATTCCCAGAGTGGATCACATTTTTACTTCTTTGCGAACGTATACTTACATATTTATTCTGATGGTTTGGAGGAGGAGGGATTCCTACAAGGTTCAGAGGCTGCAAAAGAGGACGAAAATTGGTTAGGTTCCTATGCTGTCTTAATTTATGACTTTCCAACCAATGTACAAAGGAAGAAAAGGGGATTGATGCTTCAGTTAAAAACAGAAGCTGAAAGAATACTATCGTTTACACTAGGTATTTCAAATATATGACAGAGGGGTCCTAGAAGGGATGCAAAGTGCAGCGAGTCGCGGGGGCGAGAATGGACGGATGGGCGAGAGAAATTTGAAAGGGGGACCGATCGGAACTGCAAAATCCAAATACCTGGCATATGTTCTCCGACTGCGACATTTTCGATGGAAATGTATTTCTTCACATCTTTGGTGTGATGGTGCTTCGCGTTCGCGCCTTTTGCGGAGGACCGTATTCCCCGTCTCAGCAAGACACCACTGTAAAAAAAATATTCTGAAATTTCAGACAAAATTTGACTGAAGTTAATTAACAGTAAGGGGTTCTGAAATTTCAGACCATTTCGGCGGTCTGAAAATTTAGAATAGGGTGGTCTCAAAGTTTAGAATTGGGTGGTCTGAAAATTAAGATTTAGGTGGTCTGAATTATTAGACACGGCCAGTCTGAAGAAAATTCAGACAAAAACAAAAAATTGTATCGTTGAACCTTCACTCCATTGCGAGAGAAGTCTTTGATAGAACTTGCGCGTAACTTATCGGCCGTTCTCTTTACTCGGAAACTCCGAATATCTTGGTATTCGAACCATCGAATCCTCGCTCGTCGGCTTTGCGGGTTATCCATTACACCACGGGACCGCTCTGAGAGCACGGCTGCAGGATGCCGATGACTCCAAGCGCGCTTGCTGGACGCTGAGAGGCCACAAATAAACAAACAAAGCGCGTGTTGCGGGAGTTAAACTGCGGACAATTTGGGCTGTTCGTGAATATTTAAGATTCTGTATCGAGCGCTCAAATATTGCGGTTAAATTTGGTCAAATGAGGCAACCAGTCTGACATTTCAGAACAATACGTCTCCCGTTTCAGACCCATGGTCTGAAAATACACAACCAGTTTGAAATTTAAGATCAATCGGTCTTCCTTTTCAGGAGAATAGTCTGAAAAGGCGATTCAGACTACATGGACTTGTACTTAGTCTGAATTTTCAGTCACCCCTGTCAGACTTTTTGTCTGGATGGTCTGAATTTGCTTTTAAGACTGCGAAAGTCTTAAAATTCATCCGAGGATTCTTCTTTAGAATACTTCACTGTAAAAGTTAATATCCGGAATAAACGACGGACCCTTCGGCAAAATAATTGCCAACGGTTCCTTCGTTAATTTACGAAGCTCTTCGTATATTTACAAAAACCTTCGTTAATTTTTTGAAAAATCTCTGCTGATTTTACAATCACAATGGAAATTTACGAATTACCTTCGTAAATCTACAAAGATCCTTCGTAAATTTACAGGGAACCTTCGTTTACAAACAAAGAACCTTCGTTCATATACAGAGATTCTTCGTAATTATACGTCTGGAATTAACGACGGATCCTTCGGCAAAAAAATTGCCAACACTTCCTTCGTTTATTTACGAAGGTCCGCTGTAGATTTACGAAGACCCGTCGTAGATTAACGAAGCCCATCGTAAATTTACGAAGCCCTTCGTAAATTTACAACAGATTTTGTAAATTTACGATTTTTTCTTCGTAAATTTACAAAGAACCTTCGTAAATTAACGACGAACATACGTTGACTTACAAAAGTTCCCGTAGGAAAGAAACATTTACAGTGCACTTTTGGACATTCCCAAAAACCCTTCGGAAAATATTCCGTCGTAAATTCACAACATATTTTTTACAGTGTTTCTTAAGGCTAAAAATTTCGTCGGATTTCCCATTTAAGCGATATTACGCTCAAAATTTTCTTCTTTTTTGCCCTTTTTGAGTCGGATTCTGACTCCCCTAAACATGCGGAAACGTTGCACACTGTGTTCGCAGGACGTGCGCGACACCGCCGTTGAAGCCGACGCCCTGCTGGAGAAGATTGCCTCCGTGAAGGCGCGCGGCGAGGCCGAGGCGGCCAAGCCCGACGGCGAGTACGGCGGCGACGTGGACGCCATCCTGAAGGACGCCGACGAGCTCGTCAGCACGGCCGTGTGGAACAACAAGCACATCGACGTCATGGTGGACAGGCTCATGTTCGCCGCGGACGTCACCATCTTCCTCAGTTACGCTCCAGAAGACATCAAGGCTGCCCTGAACTGCGGTGCGCTTTGCATGCGCCGTGCTGATCGCAGCCGCAGCCTGCAGTACGCGGCTCGCCTTGCCAAGGATGGTTCGTGCTAAGGGCTGAATCGTTGAATTACATATTGAATATCAAGCTGCGATGCGTTTTTTCGAGCTCACGAGTCGCAATTTTCTACCACCGCATCAACCCTCATTACAAAACCAAGTGTGGGAGAGACATGCAATAGATAACGTAGGACAGTTGAGTAATTATCTGACAGAACAACGTATCTTCATATGGAATCCCACGGTGAATAAGGGAAGGTGGGGAAATGATGGTTTTTGCTGAAGTCAACCCAATAATACCAATAACACATCCGTAAGTACACTGCGAGAAAGGTTCACGGTAAATCCTGTACTGATTACTCCAGACTTCACCGTACTTTTTTATGGCAAATCTCGTACTTTTTTACCCGGCAATACCTTGCTTTTAATACCTTTCAAAAACTGCTAAAAAATTTCAGTCGCTCGACCCTCTTTTTTCAAGATCCTGATGCACGTAACTGCTGAAGTCGAAATCCTGGACCCCCCTTCCGACCACTCGTTGAAAAGGTCTTGACGAGACCTATCGAAAGGTGCAATAAAATTTTTCAGTCGGTCGACCCCCTTTTTTCAAGATCCTGGTGTGGTCAATTATTGGAAGCGGCCTTTGTTGGGACCAGATCTGGTCCTTCCTACGGCATAGACTGTACGGAAGAACGGTAACTACTGTTAAAAGACTACGAAATATTTTGTAAAACAAGTACGGTAAATACTGAAGGCTGTATGGTGGATACTGGTTTTTGAAGTACGGTAAAGTTTGGCAAAAAAAAATATTCAGGATTTACCGTCATTTTTTCTCAGAGTGAACGGGGTAAAATGAAACATGAAGGAAAATCGAGACAAAGCGCTTTTTTTTCGGTTTTTGTCGTGTTGCTATCTAGCGGTTGTTCAGAAAACCACCGTCAATTTTTTTTTCGTGATCTAGGAGGCCGTGGCAGCTCACAGGGAACGCACGAAGGCAATCAGAGACTCGCCGGGGTTGTTAAGAACTAAAGGAAACACCTCTAAAGTCCAACAGGTTTTATAAAGTTAGTAAAAACCTCCCCAGAAACCTCGATTAGAGCTCGGGTTCTCGTCCGAACGAGGTTTAAATCTGTAGGCAATTATGTCAACATAATCAGGACAAAATTTGGTTCCGTTATGTCTACTCCCGGGCTGCCTGTTCCAGATGGAACACAATTTTGTTACCTTGTAGGGAAAATAGAGACGCACCTTTTCGCTCGAAACATGAGGCCAAACATACTCCACTGTTCTTAATTTCAAGTAATTAATGATTTCAACACGAATTTGTTTTACTGCCTGACCGGCATCTATGCTCTTCGTTTAGTAATTTCATGTGACAAGCACAACTCACGACTTCTTATACATTTTTCGGCTCTCTTTTGTGACACCCATTTTTCTCCCCTCCAGATTCTATATCGTCTCCATTATAGTTTCCAATCATCTTTAAAATGAATGAAAAGAACTTAAAAAGCTCAAAACCCGCCTAAATGATTTAATTCTCCATACTTCTTTAACATTCCTTTCTTATGTCTCCTATTACCCCACATTGCAGGGGAATATGGGACGGCACTCCGAGGGTTCTTGAAAGGTCCCTACTGCACCTAAAAGTCTGAAATTGGGTGGGAGTGTAGCCAAAGGGTCAACGAACAAGTGATGAACATCTCAGTACCTCAAAATGAAATTGAAAGGGGGAAATTCACAAAAAACCTCGAAATTTGTCTCATATTACCCCGTTCTACGGTACAGTAGGCACCAGGTTCCGTGGATAAAATTGGTTTCTGCAGGTCCAAAGTCACGCCTTTGCGTTTCTAAGTCACATCTTTAAAAGTCATTGCCTCCCGATTCGAGGTGGTTAAAACTCAACTTGAGTTCGGAAAATGTAGATATAGACGAGGAGACTAAGAAACAGTACACACATGACCGTTCCAACGCAGGAAAGTTTGATATTTGGTGTCCCAAAGCCATGCGCATGCGTTACAAAGACGTATCTTTGAAAGCCAATATCTCCCGAACCGAGGCGGTTAAAACTCAACTTGAGTTCGGAAAACGTGGATATTGACGAGGAGAACAAGAAACAGTACACGCAAAGTCGCTCTGCATGATTGTTACCGTTTTTCGGTAGGTATAGTCCGTTTGCATGCGGTATGCCTATTGGGGATTTTTGTGGCCACAATCACGCTCGTCCTCGCTGACCGCTGGTCTATCGTGTGTGCTCAACGATCAATCGCGTGACGAGCGGAGTCGAGCCGCGCCGGGCCGAGCCGGGTGGAGCCCAGCTGGGCGGACCGCCCCCACCCCTTCACCCCCTCGCCCTGCCGTGATTCGTTCAGGCCGTTATACTAGGCAAACCTGACCTGTCATCGCAAAAGCATGTGCACGTCTCCGGAAAAATTATTTTTCAGTAATGGGTCAGTCCATGCCAACTCGACAGGGCTCGGACCGACACGTGCTCGGAGGCCATCGCCATAGTGGTCGATTGTTGGCCGGTACACGGCAAAAGTGGCGCCTGGGATTCCCAGGCGCTATTCGCACTTTTCAGGCACGGCGCGCTTTTTCCAGGCGCCAGTCTTTTCCCGACATATGATTCCCAGGCGGGGCCTGGAAGTTGCGGGGCATTTCCAGGCCGCGCCTGGGAAAACTGTGGCCAGCGGCCACTTTCCAGGCCGTGCCTGGGAATTATGTACCCTGAAAAGACTGGCGCCTGGAAAAAGCGCGCCGCGCTTGGAAAAATGATTTGAAACCAGACAATGTCTGGAACTAAAGGCCTTGACGCCGAGGTCCATGGCCAGTTGTCCAGGATTTGCGACCTGGGGGTCCACGATGGTGTCCTCGAGGTGCCCAGGACATGTGGAGTCCAACGCCGAGGTCGCCGACGCTTTAGGACAAGCTGGTCCCGAGATACGAGGACGTACCACAAGGAGTCCGTCAAAGCAACTTTTTATTCGGAGGCCAAAATCATCTTCGGCCTCTGGCTGCGTTCCACTTGGGTGTCCGGGACTTTTGACTTCATCATCGTGTTGAGGTGGTGCTAGACTACCAGGAACCCGTCAGCGGTCGTCGTCGGACCTCCGGTGCGCCCAGGATGCCTACGAACGAGAGTGCCGTGCTGCCATACGGTTCAACACCGTTGTCGCCACCACTCAGGTGGTCCCTGGTGGTATCTTCGACGGCCCCGGGACACGGGGGGCCCAACCGTATGGCGTGTTGAACGGCGTTGAACCTATGGCGGCACGGCACCCTCGTTCGTCGCCATCCTGGGCGCACCGGAGGTCCGGTGACGACCGCTGACGGGTTCCTGGTGGTCTTGCACCACCTCAACACGATGCTGAAGTCAAAAGTCCTGGACACCCTGGTTGAACGCAGCCAGCGGCCGAAGATGATTTTGGCCTCCGAATAAAATGTTGCTTTGACGGACTCCTTGTGGTACGTCCTCTCATCTCCGGAACCGCTTGTCCTAGAGCGTCGGTGACCTCGGCGTTGGAATCCCCGTGTCCCGGGGCCTTCGTAGACACCACCAGGGATCACCTGGATGGTGGCGACAACGGTGTTCAACCGTATGGCGGCACGGCACCGTTTTGAGCTCTCGTCTCGCTAATCTTGTGTTTTCCCTGTCGCGTCGTGCTCGCGGCGATCTCAAATTCATTCAGGATAAGCTGGCTCAAGAAAGGGTCCATGATGCAAGAAGATCACTCATAGAGCAGGTTTATTTAAGAAAAGCAGGACCTAACAACGACCCCCTTGGATTTCGCTGATTTTTTGGTGGTTTGTAGTCCCCCATGGTGGGAGTTCATGGACAAAATTTCAGACCAAAAAAAAAAAATTATCTGGGAGATATGGGGATTTTAAGTTTTTTTGGGTATTTTTACACTTATTTTGGGTATTTCTTATATCTCAGAGACCTTTTGTCCGATTGGTTTCAGATTCGGGTTCTAGCTTCAAAATTGAACGGGGAACACGATCGTGCCGTCAGATTTGACCTAAAATATTTTTTTCATGGGGAAACCCACTTTTTCTCAAAAAATTACATAAAAAGTCCCAAATCTTGGGATTTTGCAGTTTAAAGTACCCGATCTTTTTGAAACTGGTCTTATCTTACGCAGAAAGGTCCGCTGAATCCAAAAATCACAGCCAAAAATTTTCCGACGAAACCGTTCTGGAGATATTCCACTTCAAAGTCAGGCAATTTTTTTTCGGCCTAAAAGTTGTGCGATTTTGCAGGGCTTTTCATTCAGAGGCGTTGGGCGGTGAGTTCCAGTGACGCTGGCCTTGTGCGCCGGCTGGTGTTCCCTAGCGTGCCCTTTTAGCGCCTGCCAGGTAGGTCAAGCCGTACCGCAACACATGCGTGTCCGCCTGGTGGCCTATCTCGCCCCTGACGCAAGGTGCTACCGCCACAAACAAAGGCACTCCGCGCCCCGTGCGTTGCTGGCCCAGCCGCTTCCCACTGTGGCATAAAGCTACGGAAAATTATGTCAACAGCTTGTGGTAATTCTCCGTAGCCCCCTTGTCAATATTCTTCGTAGGCTCTTACAGTATTTTCCGTAGGACCGCACAGTTTTCTCCGTAGGACCTTGCAGTGTTCTCCGTAGGACTATACAGTCTTCCAGGTCCTACGGAGAAGACTGTGCGGTCGCACGGAGAATACTGTACGGCCCTACGGAGAATACTGATAAGAGGGCTACGGAGAATCCTGGCAAAAAAAATTAACGGAATTTTCCGTACTTTTTAGCCACAGTGCCCCCTCCCTGACTCCACTGCCCCTCGTCAGAATCTGGAAAAACGATAGGTTAGGTTTACAGCCCCGAAGGCAGGAACTGAAAATTAGTCAAATAAAACACAGATTTCTCCTCAAATTAATCCCAAAACACACTTGAGTCCTCCATGCTGCGGATGACAACCACAGTCGTACAAGAACCGAAGGGTAAAAGAAACGCAGCTCTGCGAAGTCCTACACTCTAAATGTCTTACCATGAAATTTGACCTATGTTACTCGTATGTTACAGGGAATTCGGCGCAAGCATAATACAAAGCAATATTCCTTCGTAATACGAATCATT